AGGGTTTGGGTATGGATGTGGGTGTGGGTGAGGGTTTGGGTATGGATATGGGTCAGGATGTGGGTGTGGGGATCTGTATCTTCTTTATTCACGTCCACCCTATACCCACACTCACCCAAAATTGTACTTTATATTATCGTGATAAAAAAATGAATACTTAACTTTTGGAACGAGATATAAGAGGACGAAATGTAATGGGACAAGAGATAATTAGGACGAATTGTAAAGAGACAAAATGAAGTCGGACAAAAACTATTTAGGACAAATTAAAAAAGGACGAATAGTAGCGGACAAAAAAAAAAGGTCGAAATGTAGGGGTACCGTGGATTGATTGAGCTCAAATATTTTTGTAGATAGCAACTAAAGTAAGGGGTCCTTCTCAGAAAAGTACTTTTTTCGAAGAAAAATCGAAATTGAATTTTGACATAGAAAAATTCGCTGGAGCTTCCTCTTTCCGAGTATATGTATGGTGTGGGTAAGTGGATTTACGTGTATGGCGATCTCTTCTTCTCTTACACGCATATCCATATCCATACCCACGCCCTCAAGGTTTTCGGTTGAACTTCGATGCCAATTCGGTACTCGAATTTACTTTTTATCAGTATAATTGCTAGTTTGAGCATTTTGGTATCTATGACGAATTTTACTATGAGAAGAATCAGAGAAATGTACTTAGTATTCTCGTTCATGACTTATATTTACTAACTATCAATGCTTTTCTTTGTTTCTCAACCAGACATAATCCGAACATAACAGCTAAAGCTCTTTCATCAGACAATTATCGAAGAAGAAACATTTTGAAAGAGGAAAATTGTCTAGTCTATACATATGTTAACCGTTCTCATGGATTGTTTTTTCGTTGAATAGGTACTTCATCAGTCGTTCAATCGAATTACTCTTCACAGTTGACAGCGAATAGTCAAACATATCCACGCACTAACTGTGAAACATCAGATTATTACTTTGAAGTCCTTCAATTAAACTTCAACGAGAGTGGATATTATAATTTTCGTGGTGAAAGCGGCATCAGCACATATGGCTATATCTACAAGCATAGTTTCGATCCCAACAATCCATCGGTTAATTTGCACTCAGAGAACAATAATCTCTGTGGCGCTGATCTGCTCAGACTCTTCACTTATCTTGAATCTAACACTACATATATAATGGTTATGACAACAATATTTCCAAAACTGAAAGTAAATTTCTCAGTGCTAGTATTTGGTCCAAAGAATGTCGTTTTCCAACATATCAGTGAGTATATCTTTATTATTTTGCCAATAATCAGGAGAGAAATAAAATGTATGTGGGTGTGGGGTGTGTGTAAGTGTTGCTACTTAATTCATTTAACATTTATCCCACGGCCGTACTCATACCTAAACCCACACCTACAACCACCCTGGGAATTTGACTAATTATTGTTTTTCATTGAATAGCCATTCCGAAAATCATCCAATCGATGTACTCATCAGACTTGTCGATTGATAGTCAAACGTATTCCCGAGATTGTGGATTGTCAAATTATTACTATGATGCTATAGAAATAATGGTGACCAAACCTGGTTTTTATCGTCTTTCAAGTGATAGTCATGTCAATTTATATGGCTATATCTACGAAAGCAAATTCAATCGGCTCAATCCATTTGAGAACTTACTCTTACAAGATGATGAAAGCTGCAATAATAAACAGTTTGGATTCTATACTTCTCTTCAAGCCCGCGTTACGTACGTTTTGATTGTAACGACGTATCGTCCAAATGTAACAGGAGAATTTTCGATTCATATAATTGGCCCGAAGACCGCCTATTTCAGACCCATTGGTGAGTACCCACACTGCTCAATAAATAATCATTTAAAAATTGCAGAACACATAAAATGTTTGTAAACTCAATTTCTGGTGTTAGTCTACAGAAATACTTCAAACCCCTGCTATAAAACAGAGAGCAATATTTTATATGGCCCTTCTCTGACGATTTGTCCACATTCTTTTAGA